TCCATACGTAGCTGTAAACTGATTTCATAAATCCACTCTCTCTCCATCTATTTTTGATAGTCATATTTCCAATAAAAAAATTAGCCCTAAATCAACCACTAACTCTACGTTCTTTTAAGCTTATTCACTGGATTATTAAAACAAATTATTTGATCTAAGCTTAAAAACATGTTTCTCCATAAAAATACTTTTTTCTACTGTATTGTTTAAATCACATGTTTTAAGTCATTTGTTAACTTTTTTAAAAAATAATTTATCATATTATTAAATCGATAATTCGTGAAAATAACCTGCTCAACAATATATCTAAAACAAGGCCAAAACTAGTAGGGTTCCGGAATGAATTGCTCTGTTATGCACTTATACGTCTTACACCTGAAGAAATTTTTTTTCCCAAAATTTCTTTTTTGTTTGAAAGAAACCTCAGAAGAGGAGAGGGAGTCCCAAAATTTCTTGCTGCAAACATTTACTGAAATATTCATTTACATATCCACAATGGAAACAAAATGGAAGAGGGAACCGAGGTTCCATCTGACAGCTTGACAATCACATGGACAATTTAATTCATTTGGTCCCCCAGTTGCATGCTGATAGGTGCAGTGACTGGGATTTATGGAATTTTGCTGCACTTGCAGAAAAAACACAAGAGCAAAGGAACAAGAAGTCCACTGTGAAGTCTGAGCAATTGGATGAGCTAGTGACCAAATTAAAAATTAAAGGAGATGGCAACTCTGAATTCACAAGCAGAAACAGAGATAGAGTTTCAGACACAGATAGAGAGAGGAACACAATTCTGGCCCCTACGAATTCCAGCCATTTTCCTCACACTTTCCTGGAGAGAAAAAAAAATCCAGGAAACATCAATAACACTCTCAGAACAATTTGTTCTTTGGCAAGATGCAGCAAGCTTTTTCATTTTCTTCTCTTTTTCCTCAGGGAATACGGTGCCATCGATCATTGGACTCTTTGGTGTGTGAATCTTCAGAGAGTAGCACCGACTATCTCAGATGCCAATTTTCAGGAAAATTTACCGTGTTGATAGAAATTTGTCATAGTCTCACATATTTTCCACGAGAGAATTCCAAGAATTGAGGAGTGCTTGTTGGTACAGATACCGCCATACGCGAATATTTTTTAGTAAAAAATAATAGGAGTTGACGACAGACTCTATTTCTAAGAGTTTACATCCGTACCTCCCACCAAACAAGATACCAAACAAGATAGGCTATGTTCAGTGGTTTATTTTTCGCCGGGCCGGCAGAAGGTATTAAGTGGTTTATGAGAATCCTATTAGTGTCGTGTTGTATAGTTTTTTTTTCTTAATTTAATAAAGATCATTCTACTAGTTTCAAGGATCGAGTTCTTTTTATTATTTTCGATAAACTAAACTTCTACCATCATGATAAACGAGATCAAATCAACTCCATGAATTATGAATCATCATTCATGTGAACAATAATATGAAATCATGGTACAAGGATTTGTCCTGTCAACATGGCAATCCTCTGCCAGTGTAATGAGGGTTAGTTCAAAGGTCACGTATGACAAGGACATGATCATCATCAGCTTGCTCCAATTGGTGCATAATTACATGGAGATGCAAATAGTACCAATTTGCCAGAAGCATCCAACGGCTGTCGCTGCCCAGAAGCTTCATCCCAGATAACCTGGCAGATGCCAGGTCAGCTCCAACATTTTCCTGTGCTTTGACCAAATTATCCTGTTTATTTCTTAGAAGCAAACTATTTGTTCATTATTGCAAAATAAACTATTATGTCCATCCTTGATCAGTGCAATTCTACCCTATAAATATGCGTTCATCCATGCTCCATCTCCATCTCCAGCTTAACTCAAGCCATCACAACTTAATTAAGCAGCAGCATTAGCAGCTCAATTACTGAAAACACCAAAGTTGATATTCTTTACAAGGAACTTCTAAACCACCATCTTCTTCAAGGTTTCAGCCATGGTGGTTCCGGTGATCAACTTCTCCAAGCTCGACGGCACCGCCGCGGAGAGGGCCGAGACGATGGCGCAGATCGACAATGGCTGCGAGGAGTGGGGATTCTTCCAGGTAGCTAATTAATCAGATCTGCGTGCATTTTTAGGGTCTGTTTGGTAGAGATCCAACTCCTAAATTTAGCTCCAGGTGTTGAGTCTGGAGTGAAGTTGTGGACTAGTCAAAACGCATCTCCAACTCTCTTGTTCATCTCCAACGCACCCAGCTTCACTCCTACTCCCTCCGTCCTATAATATGAGGGATTTTGAGTTTAGCTTGCACTGTTTGACCACTCGTCTTATTCAAAATTTTTTGAAATTATTATCTATTTTTTTTGACTTACTTTATTATCCAAAGTACTTTAAGCACAATTTTTTATTTTTTTATATTTGCATAATTTTTTTAATAAGACGAGTGGTCAAACACTATGAGTAAAAACTTAAAATCCCTTATATTGTGAGACGGAGGGAGTATTTTAGTTGGAGCTGAAATTGTTACAGCGACCAAAAATTATATTATAATGCAAGTTAACGGTTAGCTGGTGACTTATAACAGAAGCCGGAAATGTAATTCATTTTCATTATCGAGTTAACCAGATCATCATGTGATGATTGGTGATTAGCTGATCATGACAGCAATATCGATCATGTTTGATTAAGATGGTTAATAATCTCTTGGGATCACTGCAGCTGGTGAACCATGGCGTCCCGAAGGAGCTTCTTGATCGGGTGAAGAAGGTGTGCTCGGAGAGCTACCGACTCCGGGAGGCGGCGTTCATGGAGTCGAGCCGGTGAGGACGCTGGAGGGGCTCATGGCGGCGGAGCGGCGCGGCGAGGCGGCGGCGCCGGTGGACGACATGGACTGGGAGGACATCTTCTACCTCCACGACGACAACCAGTGGCCGTCGAAACCGCCGGAGTTCAAGGAGACGATGCGGGAGTACCGCGCGGCGCTGCGGGGGCTCGCCGAGAGGGTGATGGAGGCCATGGACGAGAACCTCGGCCTCGACAAGGGGCGCATGAGGCGCGCCTTCACCGGCGACGGCCGCCACGCGCCGTTCTTCGGCACCAAGGTCAGCCACTACCCGCCGTGCCCGCGCCCCGACCTCATCACCGGCCTCCGCGCCCACACCGACGCCGGCGGCGTCATCCTGCTGTTCCAGGACGACCGCGTCGGCGGCCTCCAGGTGCTCAGGGGCGGCGAGTGGGTCGACGTGCAGCCGCTCGCCGACGCCATCGTCGTCAACACCGGCAACCAGGTGGAGGTGCTCAGCAACGGCCGCTAACGCAGCGCGTGGCACCGCGTCCTCCCCATGCGCGACGGCAACCGGCGCTCCGTCGCGTCCTTCTACAACCCGGCCTTCGAGGCGACCATCTCGCCGACGGTGGAGGGCGGCGCCGGCGCCGGCGGCGAGTACCCGGAGTACGTGTTCGGGGAGTACATGGATGTGTACGCCAAGCAAAAGTTCGATGCGAAGGAGCCACGCTTCGAGGCAGTCAAGGCGCCAAAATCTGCTTAAATTAATTACTATAATTAATTAATGGGCAATATAATAGAGTAAAATTGAATTAAAAATTTTCAATTATTTATGGATTAAGTGGAACTATGTTAATTTTAATATATTTTCTATGATTATGAAATAAAGTAATTGTAAATTTTAATCGGGCTGTAGGTATTTTCAACTAGGACTAGAGGTTGTAAGAGTTTGTCATGTGGGATTGTTAGCCGTGCCAATATTATTGGAATGAGAATTGATCGATTTGTTAATAGAAATTACCTGGTTTGGTTTGTGCTTCATTTCAAATGTGACAGTCGCAAGGCATGTAAATTAACATTGTTTAGCCAAGGAGCAGGAGCGGATCTAGAAAAAAAATAATAGTGGGGACTGAATAAACTACATCAGTATAAATCGAACCTCCAGTCCCCACATCCTATGGATCTATGGAAAAAAGAATTAGTGGGGGCTTAGGGGGGTCTCCACTGTCCCGGGGGCGGTAGTGGGGTCTCAAGACCCCTTCGCCCCCATTGTGAATCCGCCCCTGCTAAGGAGGACAGTGTTCCATCCTTCAGGTCTTCCTTCGGCGTTTTTATTTTACGTTTGCTAACTTTATTTTTATCTTCACTAGAAAGGAACACTATCTTATTCGTGTGAACTTATACTTTGAAATGAAGTAATGTTATAAGAAAACTAAATCGTGTAAACTGGCCTCTCTATGTCCAGAATGTTTGGGCATCATGCAGGGCCCCACACCTGACGGAAAAAATACCAAGGAATTTGCTAATTTTCTTATTAAAACTTGTTCAAGAAGTACATACTCTAGTGATTAAGCCATATTCTTGATATAATCCTGGCTCTACCCCCGGCATCGTGGAATATAGGATTTTACAGAGGTTCTTTAGAGGTATAATAGAATAATAACTGGTTCATTAATCCATTTCTCATAAGACGAGGGAGACATGCATGTGCTTCTTGACAAGAGAACATCGCTAGGAAGCCATCTCAAATTCTTCTTAAAAGAAAAATAAAAAAGGAGGCCATCTCAATGTGTGTGTGTGTGTGTGAGAGAGAGAGAGAGAGAGAGAGAGGCGTAGCTAGGAACTATAACAGAGTAAAAGGCGAAAGTCATATATGAAGGATGATAAAGTTCCTCACCAATATGGCACGTTATATACGGGAATCTCATGACCCAATAGCTAGTTGACAAAGAGCAACAACTAAGAATACAAAGCTAAGGTGTTGTTTGGAAGAGCTAAAGAATTTTTTTCGTACTCTCAGTTTCTCACCGATAATTTTAAAAAAATCTAGAACTACTATTACAGTTTTGAATTCTAAACCTACTGAACCTAATAATCCAGAGCGAGAATCAAGACTATTTAACGCAGCCGGGGAGCTTAAAATGGAGATAAGTCGTGCCTCGTGAAGAGCTACTTGACGGTTTGTGGATTTTGATTTTCCTATGTTATCCCTGCAACATCATAGTCAGAAATAACATATTGCAAGTCTGCAACTGTTTCTTCACTTGACCATGAGTCAATCCCAGAAATAAAGGTACTAATAATAGTATGGTCGATGCACCCATACCAAACCAAACTTAATCCCAGTACCGCTACAACAAGAGTACATCACATGACAGGCACACACACCTTGTTTTTAAAATCCTTTTTCTTCTTGGCAAAATTAAGTCACCAAGCTACTAGTCCAACTACTAGTACTACCAGCCCAGCTACTGCCACTGACAGTGGGGCCCATCTGTCTGTCAGAGAGACAGCTCTCTCTCACTCGAGCCGAGGTGAAGAGGTTATGGTAGCCCAGCTACTGCCACTGACAGTGGGGCCCATATGTCTGTGAGAGACGCTGCTCACTCTCTCTCAAGCTGAGGTGAAGAGGTGGTAGGGGAAGTTGCCGTTCTTGTCCGTCAATGGCTCCACCATCTTGGCGATTCCCCGCATCACCCTCATCAACTCCTCGTCGAACTCTCTCCCTCCTCTCTTCCACGCCGGCGTGACGTCACCGGCGGCGGCGCCGGCGCCGGGGAGGCCGAGCTGGGTGTCGTTGTTGGGGCGGTATGGCTGCTGCTGATGCTGTCCGGGGAAGACGACGCCGCCGGCGGCGCGATGCTGGTACGACGGCGGCAGCGGTGGTCCGGGGAGCTGGTGGTGCATTCCGTCGATGCTGTGGCGGAGGTGGTATGGTGGCGGTGGAGGGAGCTGCTGCTGCTGCACGGAGAATGGCGGCGGCGGTGGCGGCGGCAGCGGCAGCGGCAGCGGCAGCGCGTCGGTGTGGCGAGGTTGGTATGGCTGGTGCTGATGGAGAGGCGGCGGCGGAGGGAGTGGCTGGGTCACCGGCGGGCGAGGAGGCTGCTGCGCTGGACGCGCCGGCGGCTGCAGGTGGGGGTGCTGTGCCGGGCGCGCCGGCGGCTGGAGAGGCGGTGGCGCGAACCCGACCGACTTGGTGGCGCTCTTGGCGAGCGGCGCGGCGGCGTCTCCGCCGCCGCTCGCCGGCGCTGCAGGTGGCGGCGGCTCGAGCTTGCTGTCCCCGGCGTCGAGCATGAACTTCACCCGCGGGGCATCACGGAGCGCCGCCGCCGACGGCGCGCCGTCGTCGGTGACCGTCTTCTTGAGGATCGACTTGGGCTGCTGCCCAACCACCGCGCGCGCCGGCACGGCCCTGGACAGCGGCAGCGGCGCGCAGTTGCCGCCGGAGGTCCCGGGCCTGAACGGGGCCGTCTCCATGAGGCGAAGCTCGGAGCGCTGCTGCGGAGGCGGAGGTGCAGCGTCGGCGGCGAGGTCGCCGTCCGACTCGACGCCGCGGAGGTAGTAGTTGGGCGCGACCTGGCCGAACATGGTGGTGTTGGCGCGCGCGTACTTGAGCGCGACGTCGGCGTCGGACTTGAACCTGTAGATGACGCGGCACATGTGGGACTTCCAGTAGACGCGGATGCCGTCGACGTCGAGCGGCCCGAACCGCGCGAACCTCGCCTTGAGGGAGGCCACCGATGGCAGCGTGGTCTTCGGCGGGAACTTCATCATCAGCGCCGTCGGCGATGGCGTCTTGATCGCCGGAGCCAGAGCCGGCTCCTTCTCCTTCTTCCTGGCAGCGATCGCATCATTCTTCCTCGCCGCCGCAGGCGCCGCGGCGGCGAGCTCCAGACCGGCGGCCTTCTTGTCAGTGGCGAGCGTCTTGATCTTGTTGAGCTTGGCTTTCTTCTTGGTGGCAAGCTCCTCCTGGCGATCAGACGGGGCGCGCTTGACGCCGGCAACCTTGGCGGAGGCGGCGGTGGTGTCGCCGGGCCTCGCGGCCGGCTTCTTCTTCGCCGGCGGCTTCTGGCCGTCGGCGGCGGTGGCGGCATTGGGCTTAGAGGCCTTGTTGTCCTCGGGTGGATCGTTCTCATGGCTCTTCTTGAAAGACTTGGAGCGGAAGGCGAGGAGGAAGGAGCGAGCTTCGTCAGAGATGCTGCGGCGGCCGGCGACATAGGAGGCAACGAGAGGAAGGCTTTGAAGCTCGGATATTACCTGCTTCAGATCATGGTCTACCTTAGCAGGCAATAACCCCGGCTTGCCGGCGGCGGCGACCGCCACGCCGTTGAGCTCGGCGAGCTTCTTCTTTTTCTTCTTCTTAGGCTCGCCGGCAACGCCGCCTGCGGCGGCAGCGGCGGCGGCGTCAGCGGGTTCCTCGCGCTCGCGCTTGCGGGCGGCTGCCTTCTTCGGCTTGGTCGCCTTCTTCGGCGCCGCGGCGGCGGTGGCGGCGTCCGTGGGCGCGCCGCCGTCGCCGACCTGCCCGGCGGCGGCGGGAGGAAGCGCGAGCGGGGTGGGTGGCGCGGACAGCAGCGGCGGTGGAGTGCGCCTCTGCAGCAAGAACTCCTCGTCGGCGGCGAGGGTGCTGCTGGGGAGCGGCGGCGTCGGGGGATCGGAAGGGAACCCCGGCGGGACGTCGTCGAGAGCGGGGGCCATGGGCGCCGCCGGGAAGGCGTCCGGCATGGACGGCGGCGGCGGGGCGCGCGCGTCGTCGCGGCGCTTGAGCAGGTACTGGTCCTTCTTCTTGGCCCTGGGCTTCATCGCCGCCGCGCTGGGCATGATCTTCTCCATGAGCCTCGCCGCCGTGCTGGCCGCGCTGCCCTTCCGGCGGCGGCCGCCGGGATTCTCCGCCGCCTTCTTGCGGCCCTTCGCCGGACGACCTGCAAACGCATCGTAGCCACACATCAAGACCAAGTCAACGCAAATGGTTTTCCATTTTTATATATATGAAATATAAAACAACAATAAACTAATTTAAATATTGTGATTGAGCTAGTGGAAATTATATCAACATTAAAATAGACGAGTGTTTTTGGATTTGAAAGAAATAGGATTTTTGGAAGAAAATGCAAAGTACTATACTAGTATAATAAAAATGAAAAGAATATATGTACTCGTATATACTGTACATTACAATCCTGCAGAAGTTGTATTTGAAATATATAAAACAACAATAAACTAATTTAACTAATGATATTGTGATTGAGTTAAAATAGTCGGGGTTTTTTTTTGTTTTGAAAGAAATTGGATTTTTGGAAGGAAGAAAAATGTAAAATACAAAATAATACAAGTATAATAAAAATGAGAAGAATATGTACAGTCGTATATATACTGTACAGTACAATACCTGCAGGAGTTGTATTTGAAGACTCGCCCTGATCATCCTGGGGTTCCTCCTGTGTTTTCCGGTCCCACCAAACACGTCTCTTGCCTAGAGAGATTTAAAAAAACATCATGACATTTCGTTCGTTTATGAAGGCTTTGACTGCCACATGTCTCAACAAAAAGAAAAAAAAATTAAGCCTTTCACTGATACTGTGTAACAGAACACGTGCAAGTGCAATTCACTCTTGGGGGAAAAAAGAAGAATGATGAGAAAGCACGAGCTGGAGAGTAGTAAAGGGAAATGCATCCTGATTTTTTTTCTTTTTATTTATATTTATTTGTTACTCATCTCCTTGACAAATCAATGTGTATGACACACAAAAAAGACCTTGCAAAAAGAAAGAAAGAAAGAAAGAAAGTGTAGCAATGCCAAAAATTAAAAAAAGAATCAGCGACTGGCGAGGATAGATGGGTGACTCTTCCAGCGCGCAATCCAGACCGTCGGTAGATCCATCCTAGCCGTCCATCCGTGTCGGTGGATGCAAAAGGTGAGTGCTGGCGACTCTGCTTCTCCTGGGATTCTCTCTTTGGGCCAGGTTAATATCCAACCAAAGAAACAGTGATTTTTTTTCTATGGCGAAAAGAAAAATATTATACTCCCTCTATCCCAAAACAATAATACAGAATGTGACATATCCTAATACTATAAATTTAAATAGAATATGTCACATACTGTATTAGGTTAATTTATTTTAAAATTTAAATAGGATAGTCACATAATGTGCTAGGTTAACTTATTTTGAAACGAATTGAGTATGTAGTGGCTTCTCTTTCTCTCTCGAGCGAACACAATGTATCAGAATTTTTTTTTTAAAAAAAAGAAAATGTGCCTACATACGTGGACGCACATGCAAATTGCAAGTAATGACGTACGACCACTACCAATGCTGCTACTACTACGTGACCGTCACCTATATTCTTGGTCTTGGGATTTGTTTGTGGCAGGAAGAGATTCGCCTTTGGTCTCATTTGCCATGCAAAGTGAGATCTTCTTCTTGAAGGGAAATCCCTTCATTCCCTTCCATGAATTATTATGTCTAGTTGAAAAATAGCTCCAGAGAGAGCCAATGAGCTCCTTTAACTTTCTTCTTTGTCAATTGATCATTATCTAACGCAGAAAATTGGAAAGGCTAAAGAGTAGAGAGGCAAGGATTGGTTGATCCATTTTGGGGGTTTAATGCTTCAAGAGCTTTTTTATTTAAGCCAAGACAGGGTGACAGTCCGACTGACACGGCAGGACAAAATTCACCAGTGCTTTGCTCCTGGACGGCACAAATGCTGGCGTCTGTCTCGCTCATCGGCCACCAAATATCTAACGGAGGAGGAGCATATTCTGTGATGCCTCTCCAACCCCCATTGGCTCTCCACGTCTTTCCAAGCTTCCATGTGACTCGGTATCACCATCTCGCCAAAAGAGAGTGATGGAGAATTCAGGTGGAATTTGTAATTTAATGTTATTCATGTCCATTTACTGAAATAATCTTATGTGGATTCGTTTCGAATTTCGGATGAATTTCAACCTAAGGGGTGTCTATATATTCAATTCATGGAATCTTTGCTTTTTCCTAGGAAAGAGGAGAATTTGTCCGGGCAGGAAGAAGCATCGCCTAGAACAAGCAAAACCGCGGGGAGCTATTTCTTGGTGGCAACCGGAGAGGTTCAGTTTTTTTGTGCACTGTGATTAGCTTTTCAAAAATAAACTAAACTAAAAGGCTCTAGTGTAGTACTCCCCCGTCCCAAAATATAAGGTACTAGGATCAGATGGAGCACATCATAGCACTGTGAATCTAAACATCATGTTCAAATTCATAGTAATAGGATGTCTCCCATCCAGTCCTAACATCTTATATTTTCGGATGGAAAGAGTAATAAACTAAACTAAACTGAACTGAAGGCTCTAGTGTTTCCCTAATCATTCTGTTCTGTGCAAAAGGAACCTATGATAACCGCTACGAACTCTGAAGGCAAAGCAAAGTTGCTGGAGGCATCATTTTCAGAAAGGAACTAGCATTGATTCTAGGAACAAGTTTTGTTAACAAAAGAACGAGAAGAGAAGTTAATTCCAGGAATTGGACAGCAGCAGCAGCAGCAGCAGCAGCAGCAATAGCTGAAGGCATCATCTTAAGAAAGGAACTAGTCGAGTTAAGAAAAGGACGAGAAGGGAAGTAAATCACTGGAACAGGACAGCAGCAGCAGAAGGTAATATGAAGAGACAATTCCAATATGAAGGATTTGTGATCACGGGAAGAATGGAGGGGGGCTTCTAACCGAAGGAGCAACTTAAACACACTAGTGGTGGTCAAGAACATGGACAGGAGAGGCAAAAGATTGATCCCCCTTTCAGTACCCTCACTATTTGATGGTGTTGGAACCTCTGATCCTAGTGCAAGCTAGATGCACCTTGCTTTACTCCAGGCATGGATCTCTCAGACTTATAAACTTGGAGTCTGCAAAGAATGCTTCGTTTATATATTTTTTAGGTTGACGATACATAATTATATGATTTCCTTTCTTGTGATTGTTATGTTATGCGCAAATCTTGAGAATTACCCTTTTTCATAAAGAACAGAAATCCTAATCATATTTACCGCTTCCGAATGGTTCAGCTAGATGCATCTAAAATAACAGCAAAGAAACTTATACGTAGTTAATGTTCATACATTTTATACATGTTTAATAAATATAATAACCAACAAGCACGGCTAACAAATGTTGTAGTCATACGTATCTTAACTTGGTGCCTTCCTTCACAATGTAAAGGTGAACTCAACCACCTTACCTCAGAGCCTGCTTCATCAATGAACAAGGAATAGTGCATCCAGAACAAAACATGTTATGCAGATGAGAAACCCAATCACATTCACTTCTCATAACTCTGTTTTATCAGGTACATTAACCAATATTTATAGTAGTCCTTTATGATGCATGACTTTAGTTACGCTTAACCAACAAATGTTGTGTTGTGCACTGCTTGCACATGTCTAAATGCCAAACTATAGGGATGAAAAAAAAAACAAACAGCAAGCATACAATCTGAAGTGCATGGGCAATGAACAGAAAAATGATGCATAAATGTTAGGAAAAGAGAGGACCTCACGATTTCCAAACATATAGCAAGTTAGGAACTGAGGCCTGGCCTATAAACTGCAGCAAGTACTAAGTAGCACGTAAATCTCTAATTGAGATATATGAATAAAAGCATGACAAAACAAAATCACAATCGAATAATAACAGGCCCTAATCTTTTTTATAAAAAAATATTCCTACAAGGTAGTGGGGAAATAAGTTCTCATTGTACCCTTAGTAATTGTTTGGAAAAAATAAGATATCAAATTGGAGATCATGGCAATACCCATGAATCTACGACAACTCAAGATTGGTTGCTGCAATGCATCTGTCAAATTTTACTTCATTTTGAATCAATTCTATAATAATCGTGTGACAAACCACATCAACCCCAATGAAACAACAATCATGCAACAGACAGATCAACAAAAATATGAAACAGAAAACTAATTGAACCAGATCTACACTTCTATTCAGAACAAAGGAATCAAACTTCAATCTATATCTCAGCAATGGTATTACGGTTAGCTTAACGAGCATGTTTGAGTACATAGCAGCAGAAACAATAGCATAGTAGCATACAGCGCAGCTAAAAGGATTAATAGGATTGGGCATGCGAGTGAGTATACCTTCTCGAGCTTTCTTCTCCAACGCTGTTTTCGCCGCTTGCGCCTCGTCGTAGTCCATCCCGAAAGCTTGGGCGTAGGTGGGATCCTTCAGCGCGTATCTGGATAGGCGGTAGGCCTCAAGCATGGAGCTCATCTGGACCGCCGGGATGTGCCGCTTGGGCTTGCCGATCAGCTCGGCGGCGTCCAGCTGCTCCACGGCGGCACCCTTCAGGTAGTCCAGCAGCGCCCGCGGATCGATCTTCTCCCGCTCCGCGGCAACCTGCTCGGGGTGGTACTCGGCGTCGGTGTCGAATCCAGGCACGTCGACGAGGAGGTACCTCGGGTCGAGCTCGTGGGGGCGAGCGGCGTTGGGGCGGTGGCAGGGGCAGAGGAACGCGAGGGCGGCGCGGCGGGCGACCTCGTCGGCGGCCTCGTCGATGGCGGTGGGGAAGTTGCGGCCACCCGGCTGGGCGAACTTCTCCCGGAAGTGCTCCTCGAAGGGGAGGAGCTCGTGCGGCTCGAACCAGCCGTAGCTCGAGTCGCCGAAGAAGGCGACGAGGACGAGGCCGTCGCGGTAGCCCCGGCGAACCTCCCCGTCGCTGGTGAGGGTGATGCTGTAGACGTGGCCGGGCCACCACGGGTGGGACTTGACCTTGCCCCAGACCATGTCGCCGAACCGGACGCCGCGCGGCCACGCGCCGCCGCCTCCGGGGTGCACGATGGCGCCGGAGCCGGACGCCGCGGCGCCGGAGCCGGCGGCGGCCGTGGCCGTGGCGGTGGAGGCGGCGGCGGCGGGGGCGGGATCGGACATCCTGCGGAGAGGAGGCGAAACCCTAGATTTGGTTGCGGGGTCTCTCGATTTGGGCTTGGGTTTGGGACTTTTGGGGATGGGGGATTTCGGGAGCTTGGGCCCCGAACGGGAGGGGATCGGGGGCATGATGGGAAATTGGGAAGAGAGGAGAAAAAAGAAATGAGAGAAATGGTTTCTATGTCAGGCAAGCCAGATGCGGGACCTATGTTATATAGTCGAACGATAATGCGAAATGACATATAGGGGTAGCAAAGTTTTTATAAAGTGAGACAAAGTAGTGTGGCATTTGCGCATAATTGTAATGGTGTATCGGGGTATTTTACGAATAGACGCAGGAGCGGTTTCGTCGAAACAGTGGGCGCGTAGCATAGATGGTTATCCGCGTGATGTTAATGTGGGCCTGATATATCCGTTTTATATACATATATGTCATTTGTTACTTATTTATCAATTAGTCACCTATTATTTTGGTAGAAATTGATTGTTTGAGTTTATCCTAAAACTCATCAGTGCAATTTAAGTATAAAAAGAACAAAATATATATCAACGACGTGTGTTTCTTGTTGATATGGTGTCCATGATAGTATATTTTTTTTCATGTTTAATGTGCCAAGTGTTCAATACTATTAGAGCAAGGAACTCCCCAAGCAGGAAGGCAAAGTACCCTCGTTTGATAGTTCGGTCATGGTGCAGGTTCGAGCTCGTGCTTAGGTCGTGCATGAGAACGAGGGGATATTAGAGAATGAAGACAGATGGTTTATACAGGTTTAGATTGCTCGAAATCATAATGCCCTACTCCTACGTTCTTGCACTAAGGGAGCGTTTGTTTAGGTGACATAGGGTGAGAAAGGACATCGTATTCCCGCGCATGCTTCCCAAACTACTAAACGATGTGTTTTTTGTAAAAAAAATTCTATAGGAAAGTTGCTTTAAAAAATCATATTAGTCCATTTTTGAAATTTAAAATAGTTAATACGTAACTAATTATGCGCTAATAGCTCACCTCGTTTTACGTATCTTTCCAATCTTCTTAATCCACTTCTCCTCAAACTCACTCTAAGTGATGATGATCAAGTTTATGGCAGATGATGTTGGGATGATCTAAGTGAGAGAGGATGAATCCTTTTTCTTGCAGGGACATGATGAACCCTCCTTTGTTGAGTCTGAGATGTGAATCTAACTTAGCCTATTTTAGCTAGTCGAACCTCCTTCTTTGTGACATAGTTCCTCATTTTGTACGTTAAGGGGAGTTCACACTTTCACAGTTGTCGGTGACATGGGACCGGGAGTATCATGACTAGAGGCTTGAGGCAGACACAATCGCCCACGTGGCCTGGCACCCTCGGGGGACGTCGGGCCCGAGGGTAATGTGTGCGCCCACCTCTTGGTCTCCCCGAGGGGGGGGTCGGACCACTCCAGCCTCGCCCCCGAGGGCCGAGGCGCCCCGACCCCTCGCGTTTTCTACTCCACGTGTATGGGTTAGGTGAGCACAGCAGGGCTCACCTAACCGCATTTATTGCGCCTCGGCTAAGCGTGTCACGCCGCACGAAGTGCAGTGCAGTGCACTCGATTATCCGGTCTGTGACCAGTCACAGACCGGTCAAATCGCGGGTTAGGTGGCGACAGGCGGTCAGACGCATGCTTCGCCCCATCCTGTCTAGACGAGAGCTTCTAGGCACTCGTCCCCGGCTGGAGCTAGCGTGTTACATCCCAGAGATGACACGTTAGCCCCGATCGATATATGCCAGGCTTCATCCTAACCATTACAAGCAAGATGTTGTTTGAAGAAGGGCAAACATGCACGTTGCTGAGCCGACGTGTGGTGGACAAGAATGACCGATTTGTGACCGGTCTGACACTGCTCATGTCGTCAGCACACAGCCACCTTCCCACGACGTGCCCGCCTCAGGCAGAAGTGGAGGTAGGTATGTGCCGTCCCGTCAGGAGGATGTTCGGAGGACGACCATGCAAATCTCCGTCCATTTATGAAAAGAAGAAAAGTCCAGTTTGGAAAGGGAGGGGTGCATGTGGTATCCCCTTGAAGTATAAAAGGAGGACCTTGCCCATAGAGAAAGGGGTTGATTCTTTCCAGATTCAGAGCCTAGAACGAGGGAGAGGTCGGCTCACACTTTATAGCTCCTTCATACACAGATCCACCAAAACACAGGAGTAGGGTATTATGCTTCTCAGCGGCCCGAACCTGTATACATCGCTTGTGTTTCATGTTCTCTTGAGAGGTCGCGATCTTTCCGTCATCTACAGAGAGAGCTTGAGATCTCACCCTGAGCCCCCGGCCGAACCGGCAAAGGGGGGCCTGTGCGGTCTCCCGGTGAGGAGCGCCGCGCTCCGTCAACAGTACACATGTATGTATACGAAAGTGGGGCCCAACCCATATGGGTTGATATGCTTGATCTTGTCGTTGTCCCTCCAAACAGATCAACTCATCAACCGGATGTAACGGGCTCACCTGTCAGCCGACATGTGGAGCATTACAACCGAAATTTTCATCCCAATTGTCTACGGACCCACCTGTCGGTCACTTGCCGATAAAGGGGGCCCATGGGGTAAACTGGGAGCGTGCGTTAGGCTCAAAATAGGAAAAAAATTCTAAATAATCGCAACCTCTAAGTCCATGTTAGGAACGATTTTTGAAGGATTTTTTTTTACGTTTATAATACTTTGGAAATTTTTCCTATGAAGTTAGTTGGAACAAATGAATGGGGTTGTTGGTTTCCTTTGGAAAGGTAGTAATTCCTCCATTTTCATAGGAAATAAAAAACATCTACTTTGATCTAAAGGAAAATTTCCTTTGCTTCATGCTTGCATCTGTGTTTCTCTGTCAATTTTTTCATGTGATCCAAACAGTCCAAAATGTATCTTCCTGTGTTTTGAATTCCATTGTTTTCCTATGTTCTTTTTTCCTATTTATGTGTTTTCCATTCCTCTGTTCCAAACATGACCTAAAAGTGAAACATGAACATATATCATATATCATTGTAGTTTATGTGGTGTGCTTGAGGTGCTTTTGAGTTTTAAATAGATTAGTGTTTGAGAGGGAGCCCTTTCTTTGTTGGTGTTGTGTATCTCTTCTCTATCAAACAAAATGAGGCAAAAATTCTGCCTATGTTTTAAAAAGATTGAACACATATCCTCAAGTAGAATTCAAATCCAGTCACATTGCCACAGCAATGGAGGTGAAACCAACAGAGAAATGACCTTTGTGCTCTCCAAACCTCTACTACTAAAAATACCCATGACACTATATGCCACCGACATGAACGGCTCGCCGCACAAATTAATTACACCTCGTAAACACAAATTAAGCCCTCAAATCTTAATTAACCTTGTTTGCAATTAACCACCCTGCGTGCATCGTCCTTCCTTAATCCAAGAACGTGAACACTTGCGAGAGAAAAAATCATTTGCGGCTTCATTTGATCGGTCGCCGTCAGTGACCGGCCGGCTGTTCGCCGCGGCGGCGATGGCGCGCCGGGTGCTGGAGGTGACGCTGGTCTCGGCCAAGAACCTCAAGAAGGTGACGATGTTCTCCAAGATGCGCGTGTACGCCGTGGCGTCCATCTCCGGCGGCGACCCGCGGGTGCCGACGCACCGGACGCACGCCGACCGGGAGGGCGGCCGGAGCCCCATGTGGCACGCGCCGCTCCGCTTCCCCATCCCCGACGCCGGCGCCGACATGCGCGCCATCGCGCTGCACGTGCTGCTCCGCGCCGAGCGCGTCTTCGGCGACAGCGACGTCGGGGAGGTGTTCGTCCCGGTCAAGGACCTCGTCGCCGCGGCGCCCGAGGGCGGCGAGCACAGGCACCTCAGCTACCACGTGCGCCGCCCCGTCAGCGGCCGGAAGTGCGGCGTGCTCCACATATCGTACCAGATCACCGACGAAGCCGCCGAGCCGGCGTCCGCCGCCGGCGCCCGCGGCGCGTCGTCGACGCGGCATGTCAGCGGGAAGGGCCTCCAGCTCAGCGCGATCACCGCGTACCCGTCGGCCGGGCGCCACAGCGGCGGCCGCCGCGGCGCGGCGCAGTCGCCAACGCTGGCGTACCACCACGGCTCGCCCTACGGCGGCGGCGGCGGCGGCGCGCACGCGCAGCACCACCATCACCACCACCACCATTACGGGTACGGCTATGGCCCAGCGCCGTACGGCCATGGCGCGGCGAGTCACGGCGGTGGAGGAGGGATGGGGATGGGGGCGGGGCTCGGCATGGGGGTCGTCGGCGGCGCGGTCGCAGGGATGGTGCTCGCCGACATGCTCGCCGACGGCGAGATGGACACGCCCTTGGACGCCGGCATGAGCTGCTGATCCATCCGTACGTGCTGCACGACTCTTGATGTAATTAATAATAATCAGGTGTCACAATGGGCATTGCACTGTTTGGCAGTGACATGAATATATCATGGAAGTTTTTATCCCTTTCTAATTTGCACATATGAATTTGGAACAAAGATCTATGTCAAAATGACTACTATTATCAATTTGTTTGTTTGTTTTAGTCCGATAAGGATATGAAATGCTATGATCTCGCCTTGAATTTATCGCTTAACTTTATCCATATGTTGAACCATACGGTTTGACATAAACCTGAGTAACTTTTATTCGTATTTATTGATTTAATTTATCGAGGGTTGATCTGAATTCCCCCTTGTTCATTTGCCATCAGCTTGATCCTACAATTTGTTGGACCAAACTCATATTGGACTAGAATTCAGTTACATGGTGAAAACGAAATATGAGTTGTTCATTTGGATTACAACGCATGGAACTTCCCACTGACAGTTATGCGATTTTTTTTTGAAACAGGTTTTTAAATTTTGAATACACAAAAGGTTTGTTATTTGGCAGTAACATGGTATCTATGGTCTTGGCCAAAATTTGGTAAAAGGAAGTGGGCAAATAACATGAATTTTCAAATCCAACATTACAAAATCTAAGTCACCAAGAACGTGGAATCATGCCGCATCCCTCGTTCTGAACCATTGTTCCCATCCTAATAACATAGGTACAATCTCATCTTTTCCTTGTTAAAATTTAAAACCATTCAGAAATAGCATCCCACGTTTCTCGATGTTGTTTCTCAACCCATTGATCTAGAACTTTGGTCACATTACACAAAAATATTCGATATTGCTAAATTTGTGTCGACATATTTTAGGATAATTTACAGTCGGATGTTTTAACCGTGAGATCCTCCGATAAGATTCGTTTCAAGCACATGCACCCATCTTACACCTTTTGTGAAAGAACCAGCTGCACCTAATCAAGCTCTAAGCTCATTAGCACTTCACCTCCGTTATAAAATTAATAATTATTTATATATTTATACGAATTTACACAGTAGTTACACCTCACTTACACATCACTTATATATGTAATTAATATGTAAATTTGGGATTTACATATGTAATTTTAGGACTTATATATGTATTTTTGGGATTTACATTGTAAATACACTAAAATTACATATGTAATTTAGGAAGCTACAACATAAATACATGCCGACTATTTTTTGTTGAAAAATATGGCGCCATAAATATAGATAGTCCCAAAATATTTATATCACTCGACCAAATATAATCTAACACAATGAAAATCAACCTCCTAAACCAAACAAACACCCAATGAATTGTCTTAATTTATTGGATTTTATAAACTACAGATACAAAATTTATTCACTTTGTAGGTAAGCAGCCAAGAACCAAGCCACACCACCAAAGGTGTTCGACGCGGCGACGTGTCACTTGAGGAGGTTAGTAATGGCGATGCCCATGATGGCCACCTGCTGGCAGTCGGCGCTGTACCTGGGCAGCGGCGACCTGGCGCCGGCCCGGGAGAGGCCGCCGTCGCACCGCTGCACGAGCGCCGCCACGCGCGCCAGCTCCTGCCTCGCCGCGGCGTACCGGCGCGAGCCCAGCTCGTCGGCAGCCTCCGCGAAGGCGACCCCGACGGCGTCGTACGCCTTGGCGCACGCGTCCATGGCCTTGTCCCCCTTGGCGCCGCCGCCGGGGGAGGGGCGGATCTTGCCGGCGCCGATGTCGAACACGGCGTCGTCGGCGAGGTTGACGCCGATGAGCGCCGCGATCTTGGCGAGCCCCCACGCGTCCGCCTCCGCCGCGCCGTGGTACGACGCGAACTGCCGCGCGCAGAAGCCGACGTCCACGCGCCGGTCGCCCTTCGCCGCCGCCCCGCACGTGCTCTCGATCGTCGCCTCCGCCACCGGCGCGCGCCCGGAGCACGCCGCGGCGACGAGCACCGCGGCGGCGACGGCGGCCAACGAGGAAGCCTTCATCTTTATTGCTTTTGTTTCGCTTGATTTGCTACTACTTCTTTGGAAATGAATTTAATTAAGCTAAAATGCATCAGGTGTAAATATATTTATATATATGCATGAATTTTGCATGAAAGTGGTAGGGTCCAAACAAGTGTGCGGCTCAGCAAACAGTTGTTCTACTTTGTGCTTGTACCTCGCACTGCCTCTGTTTCTAGTTTCCTCCACAACATCCAGTAATTAGGACATATGATCCTAGCCTGTTCACAACGAATTTCAATAATGACATGAACAATGGTAGTTATACTGCTTTGTGATAAAAAAATAATAGGTGTCATGTACATTGACACATTGCCAATGCCGTGTACACTGTATAGTGGTATCTCCTCTGTTTTATTCTTCTATTGATAGACGCACAATAATGCATAGTACTTCATATAGTAATTCTATATGCTAGCGAACTGACACTGACAAGTGGGTCCCAACCATAACCTAAGTTAACAATACAATGGGGCCCAACTGTCATTGTCATTAACGCCAAGAGGTGGAGCTTCTTCAGGTTGATGTCACAGGGGGGGAAAGAGCGGCCACCTTCCTCACCGCCGGCCTCGCGAGCAGCCGCTCCCACCATGCTTTTGTTGGAATTAATGAATGGGCCTTAGCCCACTCGAAGATTAATTCTTTGGAAAATCACAAAAGCCCACCTCATGGGATGGCATGCATGTGGAGTTTAGTACCACCTTGCTTATTCTAGGAGAGGGGGACCTCCTTAAAAGGGAGGATGCCCTCCTAGCCACTTGAAGCATGTGTGGTGGAGAGAAGAGGGGAAACACGCGCGCGCGCTCGCTCGCCTCGCCTCGCCTGGCCTGGCCTGGCAGGGCAGGGCAGGGCAGGGCAGGCGGCGCGCGTGCACGACGTACGCGTCGAATGGTCCGAAAAATTGGCTCCTCACCCTTGCGCAGATGCAGTCTAGGGTTTGCCTCCTACTCTGTACTGCGCCGTCGCTCGTAGACTACTCCATCCCGCTCGCCGGCGTGCACCTGCGATCGGGAGAGCAGGTCTCCGGAACCTCTGCCTTTGACGTCCTGCACCGGGAGAAGGCGGCAATAAGGTTTTTGGGAAGCGCTTCGCGCGACTGCTCCCTGTTCGTTCGCGACGGCTCGCCTTCCTCTTCGCTCGCGTGTTTCGTGCCTTCGTAGACACCTGCGAAAAATTTCGACCAAGCAGCCGGTCTTTTCGTCACCTTGGTACGTGTTCAATATGTTGCGCATATTTGATCTGTTCATGTTATTCTGCGTAGTTTACATGTGTAGATCTAATGATGCGTTCATGCTAGTTTTCATCTGTAATGTCATGATTTATTTATGGAATAAATTAAATCCTTATATGCCCATAATCTCAACAATCCAAAAACCTTATTATAGGCACTGTGATTTTACTATGGCTGGTTTTGCCGATGCACTGAGGCCGGATAAATTCACCGGTGTGCATTTTAAGAGATGGCAGATCAGGGTCACTCTGTGGCTGACAGCTATGAAATGCTTCTGGGTGAGTACTGGCAAACCTGAAGGAGTTCTTACTGCTGAACAGCAGAAGCAATTCGAGGAAGCCACTACTCTCTTTGTGGGATGCGTTCTTGGCGATCGTCTGGTCGAGGTGTATATGCATATGACCGACGCTAAGGAGTTGTGGGATGCACTGAATACTAAATTCGGTGCTACTGATGCTAGCAATGATCTGTATATCATGGAGCAGTTTCATGACTACAAAATGGCTGACAACCGTTCTGTAGTCGAACAGGCTCATGAGATACAAACCATGGCTAAGGAACTCGAACTCCTTAAGTGTGTCTTACCCGACAAATTTGTGGCCGGGTGCATTATTGCAAAACTTCCTCCATCTTGGAGGAGTTTCGGTACTGCACTCAAACACAAGAGACAGGAATACTCCGTTGAGGGGTTGATTGCGTCTCTTGATGTTGAGGAGAAAGCTCGGGAAAAAGATGCCGCGTCTAAGGGCGATGGTGGGCAGTCCAGTGCCAATGTTGTGCACAAGGCCCAGAACAAGAGCAAGGGGAAATACAAAGCTCAGCAGACCACCAACTTCAAGAAGCAGAAGAAGAACAACAACAATCCTAATCAGGATGAGAGGACTTGCTTTGTGTGTGGCCAAGTTGGTCATCTGGCTAGGAAGTGTCCACAACGCAAGGGGATGAAGGCACCTGCAGGGCAGACTTCTAAGTCTGCTAATGTGACCATTGGCAACACTGGAGATGGAAGCGGGTATGGTAATTTACCTACTGTTTTTTCAGTTAATCAATCTACTAATTGGTGGGTTGATACTGGGGCCAATGTACATGTTTGTGCTGACATCTCATTGTTTTCTTCTTATCAGGTCGCACGGGGTTCCACCGTCCTAATGGGGAATGGGTCACATGCTTCTGTTCATGGTGTTGGCACGGTAGATCTGAAGTTTACTTCGGGAAAGATCGTGCAGCTGAAGAACGTGCAGCATGTCCCTTCTATCGACAGGAATCTTGTTAGTGGCTCCCGTCTGACTAGAGACGGATTTAAGTTGGTTTTTGAGTCTAATAAAGTAGTCGTGTCTAAACATGGATATTTTATTGGTAAAGGTTATGAGTGCGGAGGCCTGTTCCGCTTTTCCCTTTCTGATTTCTGCAATAAGTCTGTGAACCATATTTGTGGCAGTGTGGATGATGAAGCTAATGTTTGGCATTCACGTTTATGTCATATTAATTTTGGCTTGATGTCTCGGCTTTCCAGCATGTGTTTAATTCCTAAGTTTTCCATTGTCAAAGGTTCTAAGTGCCATAGTTGTGTGCAATCGAAGCAACCTCGCAAGCCTCACAAGGCTGCCGAGGAGAGAAACTTGGCACCACTAGAACTCCTACATTCAGATCTTTGTGAAATGAATGGGGTGTTGACGAAGGGTGGAAAACGATATTTCATGACATTGATTGATGATGCTACTAGATTTTGCTATGTGTACTTGTTGAAAACGAAAGACGAGGCTCTAGACTATTTTAAAATTTATAAGGCAGAAGTTGAAAATCAACTTGACAGAAAGATAAAAAGGCTTAGGTCTGATCGTGGTGGAGAGTTTTTCTCGAACGAGTTTGACTTATTCTGTGAAGAACATGGCATCATACATGAGAGGACGCCTCCCTATTCTCCCGAGTCTAATGGGATTGCTGAAAGGAAGAACCGCACACTGACTGACTTGGTGAATGCCATGTTGGACACCGCGGGACTGCCTAAGGCATGGTGGGGGGAGGCATTGTTGACCTCAAATCATGTGTTAAACAGAATTCCTAACAGAAATAAGGACAAAACACCATATGAGATATGGATTGGTAGAAAACCATCACTTTCTTATTTGCGCACATGGGGGTGCTTGGCGAAAGTCAATGTACCAATAACGAAGAAGCGCAAACTTGGACCTAAGACTGTGGACTGTGTTTTTCTGGGATATGCTCATCATAGCATTGCCTATAGATTTTTAATAGTTAAATCCGAGGTACCGGACATGCATGTTGGTACAATTATGGAGTCTCGTGATGCTACCTTCTTTGAGAGCTTTTTTCCAATGAAGGATACACATAGTGGTTCGAACCAACCCTCTGAAATAATTCCCAGTTCAATCACACCACCAGAACAAACTGAACATACACATGAACTTGTCTCTGAGGAGGATGTCAGTGAAGCTCCTCGAAGGAGTAAGAGACAAAGGACGGCTAAGTCTTTTGGTGATGATTTCACTGTGTACCTCGTGGATGACACTCCTAAGTCAATTTCAGAAGCATATGCATCTCCTGATGCAGACTACTGGAAGGAGGCTGTCCGTAGTGAAATGGATTCCATTATCGCTAACGGGACTTGGGAGGTGACAGAGCGACCCTATGGGTGTAAACCTGTGGGGTGCAAGTGGGTGTTCAAGAAGAAGCTTAGGCCTGACGGTACTATTGAAAAGTACAAGGCTCGGCTTGTTGCTAAGGGCTATACTCAGAAAGAAGGCGAAGATTTCTTTGACACTTACTCACCTGTTGCTAGATTGACCACAATTCGTGTGCTACTTTCCCTAGCAGCCTCACATGGTCTTCTCGTTCATCAAATGGACGTTAAGACAGCTTTTCTTAATGGAGAGCTGGATGAGGAGATCTATATGGATCAACCTGATGGGTTTGTAGTTGAAGGTCAAGAAGGCAAAGTGTGCAAATTGTTGAAGTCTTTGTATGGTCTGAAACAAGCTCCTAAGCAATGGCATGAGAAATTTGACAAAACATTGACATCTGCAGGCTTTGCAGTCAATGAGGCAGATAAATGTGTGTACTATCGCCATGGTGGGGGTGAGGGAGTTATTTTGTGCTTGTATGTTGACGACATACTGATATTTGGGACAAACCTTGAGGTGATAAATGAGGTTAAATCATTCTTGTCTCAAAATTTTGATATGAAAGATTTGGGAGTAGCTGATGTTATCTTAAACATTAAGCTAATTAGAGGTGAGAATGGGATTACTCTCTTGCAGTCCCATTATGTGGAGAAGATCTTGAATCGCTTTGGCTACATTGATAGTAAGCCTTCTCCAACACCTTATGATCCTAGCTTGTTGCTTCGCAAGAACAAGAGAATTGCTAGGAATCAACTGGAATACTCCCAAATCATTGGCTCGTTGATGTACCTGGCTAGTGCAACTAGGCCTGATATCTCCTTTGCTGTGAGCAAGTTGAGCCGATTTACTTCTAATCCGGGAGATGATCACTGGCGTGCGCTTGAGCGAGTAATGCGCTATCTGAAAGGTACTGTGGAATTGGGACTTCACTATACTGGGTATCCTGCGGTACTGGAGGGTTATAGTGATTCTAACTGGATCTCTGATGTGGATGAGATCAAAGCCACTAGTGGATATGTTTTCACACTGGGTGGTGGTGCTGTTTCATGGAGGTCTTGCAAACAGACAATTTTGACGAGGTCAACCATGGAAGCAGAACTAACGGCACTGGATACTGCTACTGTTGAGGCAGAATGGCTGCGTGATCTATTAATGGATCTGCCTGTTGTTGAAAAACCGGTGCCGGCTATCCTTATGAACTGTGACAATCAAACGGTAATTGTCAAAGTGAATAGTTCTAAGGATAATATGAAATCGTCTAGACATGTGAAAAGACGATTGAAGTCTGTCAGGAAATTAAGAAACTCCGGAGTTATAACGTTGGATTACATCCAAACAGCGAGAAACCTGGCAGATCCCTTCACAAAGGGACTATCACGAAATGTGATAGACAATGCATCGAAGGAGATGGGTTTGAGACCCATGTGAGTTATACTATGGTGGTAACCCAGTCTATGTGATCGGAGATCCCGTGAATTAGATCCTGGGAAGAACAAACCATTAATAAACTAGAGGAGAGTACCAATATATATACCCTATCCAAGTGAAGATGCATATACTCTCGTGAGCTGCAAGGCAGGTTGGCTATGCCTTAATGAGTTCTGTTGGCTTTAATTAGCAAAGATGTTGTCCTGCAGAGCATTCTTGAAGGAACTCACCTTTGTGAGCTTGACTGTTGGTCGCAGTCTATGAAGATTTTGGGTGAATCTTCTAGGAAGCTTACCAAAGACCTAGGAGTATGACTTATACGCTCCACCCGAGGGGTAGTCTACAGACGGTCTAGTACCAGATAAGACTTTGAGTGAAACTTGCTTGCACAAGACTTGCAATTCAAGGCGTAGTCCATTGTTCAAGTTGTGAGTAAGTGTAGCTTGGAGTTCTAGGTGGATGTTCAACCTTAATTGGTCTCCATCGAACCACTGGTATATAAACAGTACATTGGAAAAGGCAAATCTCAGTGGGATTTTGAGATTTGGTGGGGGATTGTTGGAATTAATGAATGGGCCTTAGCCCACTCGAAGATTAATTCTTTGGAAAATCACAAAAGCCCACCTCATGGGATGGCATGCATGTGGAGTTTAGTACCACCTTGCTTATTCTAGGAGAGGGGGACCTCCTTAAAAGGGAGGATGCCCTCCTAGCCACTTGAAGCATGTGTGGTGGAGAGAAGAGGGGAAACACACGCGCGCGCTCGCTCGCCTCGCCTCGCCTGGCCTGGCCTGGCCTGGCCTGGCAGGGCAGGGCAGGGCAGCGCGTGCACGACGTACGCGTCGAATGGTCCGAAAAATTGGCTCCTCACCCTTGCGCAGATGCAGCCTCCTTTTGCAGTTTTGTTTTGCTGCAAATTCGGATTCGTTTTGTTTTGGAAACGTTCCGAAAAATCCGGTGCGTGCAAACGGCGTGGAGTCCGGATAAGTTACGCGCGACTTATCCGGTTCGGTTACGCGCAGTAGAGATCGTGCGGGCGCCCTGATCAAGCGACCCTTCTCTATATAAACCGACCCGCCGTCTTCACGCAATACATGCGAAAATCAATCTAGGGTTTGCCTCCTACTCTGTACTGCGCCGTCGCTCGTAGACTACTCCATCCCGCTCGCCGGCGTGCACCTGCGATCGGGAGAGCAGGTCTCCGGAACCTCTGCCTTTGACGTCCTGCACCGGGAGAAGGCGGCAATAAGGTTTTTGGGAAGCGCTTCGCGCGACTGCTCCCTGTTCGTTCGCGACGGCTCGCCTTCCTCTTCGCTCGCGTGTTTCGTGCCTTCGTAGACACCTGCGAAAAATTTCGACCAAGCAGCCGGTCTTTTCGTCACCTCGGTACGTGTTCAATATGTTGCGCATATTTGATCTGTTCATGTTATTCTGCGTAGTTTACATGTGTAGATCTAATGATGCGTTCATGCTAGTTTTCATCTGTAATGTCATGATTTATTTATGGAATAAATTAAATCCTTATATGCCCATAATCTCAACAGCTTTGACGTTCGTGCACGACTCCACCAGCGTGGCGTACTCGGTGGTCATGAGGTAGTAGGTGTAGGGGAAGTGGTTCAGGTCGGCGACGCTGACGAAATCTCCGGCGAGGTACTCCGACTCCGACAACCTCCGCTCGTACACCTCCAGCACCTTCCTCAGCTTCTCGACGTTCTCGTCGACGATGGCCTGGTCACGGGCGCCGCCGCCGATCATCGGCTTGATGACGCACTCCCGGATAATGTGGAAGATGGCAGGGTCGTAGTGGTGCGCCTCCACCTCCATCCACATGTCCACCATTGCCGACTCCTCAAGGTTGCCTTCTCTTAAGAGATCCGGTTTGTTGTAATTGCGAAGCACGTAGCGTTGAATTGCACGCGACTCTGGTAATAATAATAATAATAATAATAATAATAATAATAATAATAATAATAATAATAATAATAATAATAATAATAATAATAATATGTGAATATTCCTTTCAAAAAAAGTGAATACTCATTATTCATTTCCAATATATAAGTAATTGAGATGGAGCATATCACAGTAATTCGGGTGAGGTGTGGTGTTCCTCATACCAAAGAGAGTGACTTCTCCGTCCTCAAAGGCAGGGATCTTGCCAAAGGGCTGCGAGAAACACGTGCAAATTTGAACGAAATATAGCCGAATTTGATTTTTTTTTGAACGATATAGCCGAATTTGATTTGATTGATTGGTTAATTAATTCAGAGATGAAAAGGTTTCTAGCGAGCAATTAATTGATTTTGTGCAAGAAGAGATCGAGATGCATCATGTATGAAAGTGAAGCGAATCTTAGAGTTGGAGAGGGCAAAGAGGGGCGTACGCTCCGGGCGAGGTGGTGGCGGGACCTGTTCTCGCCGGCGGCCATGTCGACGGCGACGAGCTCGTAGCTGGCGCCGGCCTCCTCCAGGCACACCAGCACCGTCGCCACGTACGGCGACGCCGCCACTCCGTACACCTTCGCGACCATCTCCGATGTCTCTCTCTAAACTCTGTCTCTGTCTCTATCTCTCTTGAGAAAGCTTGATGTGAGTTCTTCCTCGTTCTACACATGCTGACATTTATAATTTAGGCATCAGTTAGCAGCTCCATTTCCGTCTAATTTAATCAGCAAGAAGCTTCGGAGTAGGTGCTTGGACACTTGGCGTGAATGATGTGACCATAGGCTTGATGATAATGGTATTACTACTGCTGCTGAGTAAAAAATATAAGAAATTAGAATCGGATGAAACATTTTGTGGCAACAGAATTTTAATTGACGAAAAATAATGATTAACTTGCTATTATCATTATTTTCTGTATATATCATCTCTTAAATTCTATATATATTTGTAATTAATATATGATCCATATGACGTTATAATATCATTTGTCTTTCCCAGTAAAATTAGAGACGATGGGGTGGTTAACATGTGAACCTTTTGACCCCACATATTATTTCTTTATTACAAAAGAGTAAGTAGTTGGTGATGACAGATTAACCCCTCATCACCATCACTGCTCTTTTTAAACTAGCATAGAAATCATGCATGCAAGCTTTTTCTTTTTTTAAAAAAAAACACATTACAATACAGATACTCCCTCCGTCCAAAAAAAAAAAGACAAACCCCAGGTTTCCGTGTCCAACTTTGACTGTCCGTCTTATATAAAATTTTTTTATAATTCGTATTTTCATTGTTGTTAAATGATAAAACATGATTAATATTTTATGCGTGACTTGTCTTTTTAATTTTTTTCATATTTTTTTCAAATAAGACGGATGGTCAAACGTTAGACACGGAAACCAGGGTTTGTCTTCTTTTTTTTTAGGACGGAGGGAGTAGATGTTAATGTACACACTTATCCTAAATCTGACTGTTAATGTTGTTGTCATCTAGAGTTCATATAATAGATATATGTTGTTTTAATTTTTTTCCCTTCCACCTTGATGTGATCCTATTTCAATCAATCAGTTTGTATGGGTGATTTGAGTTTTTCTTTTCTTTTCCCCGTCTTTCGGTGAAAAGATGCGTAATCGTATTGCGTGTTCTGAAAAAAAAAAGAGAACAATATAATCAAGTCTTCCCCACCTCGTCTCTCTTTTGGACTATATTTTTTTAAAAAAGAAAATAGCAGACCTAACACAATAACACACGAGGGAGTGAGGCCATCGTGCATTCGTGCACCCTGCAAACTTGTTACATGGATGGCCAATAGCATCCATTCTTATCCATGCATGCACCCTCAGATAAAAATCAGTGCAGGATTATAGCCTCATACATTTTGCATTATGTACACTTGTAATATGATAGGTCATTGTCAAGCACTAGTACCTGTGCATTCTAGTGCATGCATAATCTGGCAAAATGCATCCGAACCGTATATGATATATCGAACGATAGAAACAAATTACACTGACGTGGACATAGAAGGAGACCTTACAGATGGCGCGGCCTCATATTCCTGATTGACTCAACTGTAACTTAATTGTTAGTTCTTGACGCCACATTAGACAAGTTCTTTTAGAGGAGTAATGCACAAGTGATGCAACAAGCCAAAAACAACTTGTACATCAGATTTTAAGCACGGTACGAAAAACATCCCATCAACAACATTAGTGATCACATATACGTACCTTCTCGAGATGTTTTACGATGAACTTTATTTGTAAAGGAGTACCGCTATACATCCGACCCCTATTCGACCCTGCCTCATCAGCCAATCAATTCACTTCATACAAGTCAGTTTTTTTCCATGTAAGTCACGGCAAGCAGTAGCTAAGTACTAGTCATACGCAAGTCGTACACACTAGTCGTATGGATAGTAATTTTCTTTGTAAAATCAATAGTAAAGAAATAGTCTTATCTTGATGCAATAGGAATCGACACAAAAGAACTCCTTTGCCCCCCTACCTCCTCTGTGTTGTTCTTAATTACTGGCGCTCGCACACAAACATTTCTATCTTCACCGCATGACACATTGCTATCAAATCGAGACTGACACATGGCCCCCACCATAATAATCAACTCCTAAGTAGTATAACAGCACGGTGGGGCCCAACTGTCAGTACGTAGCCTGTACAGTGGGGCCTTCTCCAAGCCGATGGCTCAAGACGTCACGCGGGCATGAGAGCGGCTACCATCAACATGGCCACCGACGGCGTCGACGAGCGCGAGCTCGCCGTCCTCAGCAAAGGCGGCGATCTTACCAAACGGCTGCAAGAACAGAACAACGTATGCAAATCTATGATACTACACGACTAGATGTCCACTCGAGTGATTAAAAAAGTTTCAAACACATTAAGAGATGCAAATCTGCGTTAGAAAGGGATTTTTTTCAAAATACTTTTAAAATTTTTAATTTTAAGAATGAATCATTTCAAAACTTATTTCCAAAATCTTAACTCTTTGACCACATCTAGCATTAGGAAAAAAAAACATTGACACATCACCTGCAATAGGTGTGACGGTTTTATCCTATCATATCAGCGAGGATGGTATGAGTAAATAACAGCTACGTCAGTTAGATTAGCGTGACAATATATTTTTGCCATGCAAGTTAGCGTGGCAAAATTGTTCATATGTTAAAAATAAGTTTTGTAGATTTATTTTTAAAATTAAAAAGGTTTTTAAAAGAAATTCTCAGAAAGGGTGGGCGGCTTACGTTCCGGGCAAGGTGCGGCCGGGTACTCTGTTCGCGCGCCGCCGCCGTGCCGACGAGCTCGTACCCGCCGCCGGCGGCGGCCTCCTCCAGGCTCGCCAGCACCGCCGCCACGAGCGGCGATCCCGCCGGCCCGGTCACCCTCACTCCCATCTCTCTTCTCTCCCGTGTGAGCTGAAAGCCTTCTTGCAGCAGCAGCTCTGCTTCCGTTTAATTTATCGGCGAGAAGGCGGAAGCTTCAGTGAAACGGCTTGGTGTGGTGAATGGTGATGTACACTCCTGCTCACGAAAGCTAGCTTAACCATCTCTGCCGATTTCAAACTAGAAATGGTATAGTATTACCTTGTACTAATCTCTTCGATGATAAGTTAGTTATATGGATGTTTTTGTCCTCGTGCAAAACATGTCTTGGGTCCTTTTTAAACTGACCAAATCGTATAAACCACCTCCTCCGTTGTCACTCTCGTTTTAAACATTCTACTCCGTAACCCATTTTGTTGCAAAAGCTCAGGCAACCAAAGGCCAAAATTACTCCCTCCATACACATTATTAGTTGATTTGGCCCATTTCTTTCAATATGGATTCGCTGCCGATCAACGCCATTGATTGTCATTCCACCCTTCTTGCCACTTCGAACTAGTATAAGGATCTGTTTTGGGGAGTTTCTAGTAGGTGCAGTTTCTCCCAGAATCAAAAACTCTCCCCAAACAATCGAGATTGTCACATAGATTTTGAGAATCTATTATTCTACTTAAAAAATAAACTAAAATTCAGAAGCTATGTTTAGTAGCTTCTCCATATTCTCATAAGCTGTCTATCAACCAGTAGATTCTCAGAATCTTAAGCTCTCCCAAACAGGACCTAAGAACGAGCTCAAGTCAAACTCACCTCATAGCCATATTAGATGAACACAACATGGCTTATACAGTTCACTGCGAATCCATGTCAGAAGAAATGGAGCAAATAAGCTACTCACGTGTGTACGGTGGGTGGGCTTTTGCAACGAAATAGGTTATAGGGTAGAATATCAAAACTAGAGTGACAATTAGGGTGGTTTATGCAACGAGATTTGCTCCGGTCCAACAAGAAGTACCTCAAGGTACCAGTACCTCATGGTACTAAATCGTTTCCGATTGTTGGATTACCTTCTAAACAAGTGCCATTGTACTGTACACGGATTGTGTGACATTGTTGGGCTACTTACTAGCTCGGTTTTGAAAAATATAAAGTTGTTGACTTTTAAACCTCACATTTGGTCATTTATTTTATTAAAAGAACTATGTAAATACTCGCTCCGTTTTAGGTTACTCTAAATTTGACTAACTCTATAGAAAAATATAGTAATATTTACAACATCAGCATAGTTTCATTAAATATATAATTGAATAAACTTTCATAATATATTAGTCTTGGATTAAAAATATTACAATTTTTTTCCATAAAATTAGTCAAACTTAAAATAGTTTGACTTTGACCAAAATCAAAACGTCTTATAACTTGAAACGGAGGGAGTATCATTTATTTCGACATGACTTGTTTTATCATTAGGTGCTTTAAGCACGACTAATAATTTTGCATATTTGTATCAAATTTTAGTATGCCATGTAAAAAAAAGGGGAGTATGCCACTTGGCTAAAGTTCAGGATTTAACAACTCGGTGCGAGTGAAAGTTTTTAGGGTTGTAAAATAGACTTTTTTTCTCAAAGAAATACTCAGGAGGTGGCACTATTATCCATTTCCCAATCGAATAGCAAAAAACATCTGAGGAACATAATTTCTTCAACCATGCTCTTTTGCTTCATCTATTTGTTGGAAATATAGTCATGAATCGGCATATTTTAATCCAAAATGTTAAAGCAATAACCATGGCATAAACAGTGTAGAGTGATCTTAACATAACCAGTAGCATACTATGCGCATCATGAATGTCAGGAACAGAAACATTACAGTAACGCAATAACATGCTAGAGGCATCATGAATGTCAGGAACAGGAACACAGCGCACATAACAGTAAAGCGATAGCGCTAACAAAGGGAACAGGAGAAGGATATACCTCGAGAATGGCCCTCCGTTGGATTATGAGGCAGAATTGCCTCCGTTGATGTTGTCGTTCGCGGCACCGGCTCCAGCTCCTGGCGCACCACCTCTGCCATCTCCTCCAGTAGCGGCGGCGGCATCTCCAGACATGGCGAGCAATCGTGCGAGAGGCACTACCCAAAAACCTGATCACCCGCCTACCCGGTGCAGATCTCAGGCGAAGATGTGGTTTTGGAGGCACTGCTCCTTCCAATCTCTCGTGCGCGCAAGAGATCAGAAGCGAGGAAGCGAGAACAGCACTGGTGCGGAGGAGGAACTAACACCGGGAAAGAAGCAAGCGTCCGTTACAGATCGGACTCGCGGCCTCCTTATCTATCAGGAGAGAGAGGCAGTTGTTGGAACGTGGTTAGTGGCTGCAAAAGAATAGCGACGTGACGCACGCACGCCGCCAGCCAGCCTCGCCCACGCCCACGGCCTCGGCCCGGCGCGCGCGCGCGCGTGGCATTCCGAACCCCACCTCAACCAGTCAACAGGGGGCCTCCAATAACTCCCTATTTAGGTTAAGATATTCCTCGCTTAAATCCTGATGTGGTATTATTATCCTTAACACTTATTATGGGCCTTTGAGATTTAATAGGATAAGTTGGGCCTAGCCCAATTATTCTAACACTATTGACTATGTCTTACTGAAGGAATACATTTATCTTTACACCAGTTCCTAATTTCTTTGGCAGTTTGGCACTGAAAAGATGTGTCAGTTACATGCATTCTGTCATTCTGATGATTCTGGTGATCTGGTTTGATACCAAGCAGCACATTATGCTCTGAAACTGTGACAGAGATAGACATTCACCTTATCCATATATATGCTCTGAAACGTGATGTTTGTATAAGTTTCTGTTAATCCTAGTGTAATTTTTTCCTTCTTATTTGCACATGATCACCTGGTGTCATCTGCTGCTGCACTGTCATCGGCTGTCTCTTTAGAAACCATATTTTGATTCAGTACAAACCTCAGGCTGTCACCTTCTTCAAGCTCCCATTGCTTTGTGAGTTCATTGATGGCTCTTGTTGCAGCCCTGGCTACAGCATAATTGGAATCTTGAGCCAATCTCTGCAATTGAAAGAGCAAGCAAAGATTGATGAAACATCAATAGTTACCCAAGTAACTTCAAAGAAACTAGTTCATGTAGCAAGTAGCAACTAGCAAGTTCATTCAACAATAACTGATTATTATGCAGAAACAGGCTGCGTTGTACTATGGATTTTAACCTTTTTTAGATAATTGATCACAAGGGAGAAATGAGCTTCAGTTTGTACAGCTTGGAAATCATGGTTACAAATGAATATGAAGATCAAATTTGAACTGTGGGGCAAGCATGATTCCTGGCTCTGAGAGGCTTAGAAATTTCTCATACAAAAAATTCTGATATGAAGGTAATCAGAAATTGTCAATAGGAGGAGCTATAGGAGAGATTTATGTTCACCTGTAATGCACCCATCCCAGCATTTCCAAGAATCCACATGGATGGAGCTGCAGCCAGTGCATTAGCTAAAGCTTTCCTACAAGGGGTATACATACATAATAATGGTCAATACGAATGCGATGTAATTCAGAAATATAACATAGAGCCTCATCGTTTGCCCTACAACGAATCAGCCACCGCCAAAATTTATTTAAGACTTAATTTTTGAGTTAATTCTACGGTATTTTCAACATAGTTCCTTTTTTGAATTGGCTTTTAAGTCACTAAGGACATATACATAATAGTTTTATCCATAAATTATTTTTTGTCGCTAATTAGCTATTTTGGCACATAGCCATGATGTATAGAGACAGGACATATCAAATCTGCATTCTTTATATTAACATTCTCTCATTTTCTGTATATTCTCATTTTCTGTACTTGAAGATGGATTCGATCTTGCTAACAACGCAGAAGCAACATACATTGCAGGTAACTGTACTCAATAATGCTGTGATATACCTGGTATTAACATCTGGAGAGCTTGAACATTCAGCAAGTAAGGAAACACTCTTTTTCCCATCCATGGCGTCCAGGTCAATGAGAGTTGCTACTAACAACTCAAGCTTCAGAAACAGAAAAGAGAAGGTTAGAAAGATGGACATAGGAAGGTTCATCTTTATAATGTGGGTAAAAAATGTTTCACCTCCTCAGGATCTGTGTAGTCGATACCATCAGCCTCAGACAACGCAGATGCCATACTCCAGTATGCTTGCTATGGATAACAAATTTAACCAAAATTAGCCATATGATGGGAGTTTTCTGCTAAATAAGTTAATCTAGATATAACCTCTATGGCGGTAATCTGGTCCGTTGAAACTTCATGAGGAAACAGCTCGAAGGTATTTCCATTTTTCTCAAGGGTGATGAAACTTCTTGAATTAGCAGGAGAAGAGGAACCATCCTTTGCGAATCTAAAGTATATTTATTTTAGTACAAATCAGATTGTTCTAACAATGAATATGAACCAGCGAAGTAAAATCATACCCTCCTTAATTAAACATTGAATTTCTCTAAGAAATGAGCATTTGAAATGAACTTACTGCTCTTGTAATCTGTTTGCCATCATGTCATGGATATCCCGAACAAACTGCACTAAATATTACAGAATTACATACAAGTGTAATATTTAATAATCAAGATGCTGTATGAGAAATACCAAGAATTGGGAAGGGTCAAATTGATCAAAACATCTAGTATGTGATCCATAAACTTTTCCTTTTGTGCAGCAACAAATACCAAAAAAATGTCGATATGGCAAGGTGTAGATAGAGTATGATTAAGTCTGAGGCTAGTTATTCATGTCTAGATATATGATTATTTATTTTCTGCTAAGCCAATCAAACTAAACCTTAGCTATTAATGTAATGCATAACAGCAAACCGGTCATGACAGCAGGCTCATAAAACAAACAAAATTTGTTGGAAATATGATGTATGGGGCATGATGTTAAGCAAATAAATAATCAAGAATTGTTACGAGTTTGAGTTATAAATCTTGCTTTCATAAATCAAAATAACTGATTATGTTTTCATCCTAAAATCTTGCATATCTTAGCTTGTAAATTGTAATGAAAACTAAACCAACTTGCTGCATTTAAAGACAGTAGAGATGGAAAAGAACAAGTTGGGCTACCTTTAAAGCCATGAAAGCATCTTCCATGGCACGTCGTCTAACAACCGAGTCAGCTCGTCGCAGATCTGCCTGCATTGCAAATAAATAGTGTATTATATAAGCATAATCCCATGAATTTGATAGTAACACACACAAAGAAGGTTAACACCGGTAATAAAACAACATCGGTACTCCAGAAACATTTGGCAGCTATATATCGCTCAGTATTTTCAACTAGTTCCAGCAAAATGAAGTGAAGGACAGAGAACTAGCACAGACCTCCAAAGCACCATCGCTCCAATGCTGATCTGCTGCTTTCTTCAAGTCTGACTGAGCCTGTTCCTTTAATATCTGAATATGCATACAGAGGTAACAGGCTAAAGTACATAGAGGTAGAAAGGAACAAAAAGTAAAGCACATGGATGGTTCAATTATCTAAACATATTGAAAAATCATACTCTCGCAAAATGGGTAAGCCGCGCTGCCCTTTCCTTCACACTGTGGTCAATTTTTTTAGTGTCCTTCCTTGCACGAGCTTTCAGTAAATAATAGCTTTAGATGGATAGTTAAATCATACCAAAGAAACTAAGAGCTTGTCAGCTAAAAGGGAAATCATGTACCATCAAGCTTGAGAAATCCTGACCCTAAAACAGCAACATCCTGGCACGCACGTTTGTTCAGCCTTGTTATGCCACTAGGATTAGAAATGAGACACATAATTTTGTTATGTACAAATCTCTTGTTTTTACCAAGGGATATATTTTTTAAAGATTATTATGAAAGGAATACCGTGAAAGCAAGAGAATATCATTTTGAGCTCTTTCATTCACAAATTTTGCATCGTTGTAAACAAATTTGCAAGCTTCAGCCAACCCTTGACTAGATTTGACTGATTTTTTCTTTGCTGCAACTTGATTATCTGAAAATTGGGAGGCTCCTCTTGAATGTTCTTCAAAATCCCTGCAACAATAGATTTAGAAATTTAAAAAGACAAACAGGTTATGTCAACCATAAAAACAAAATAAAAAATGTTGGATGGGTTATGTCCATCTTAAAAATGACTGTGTTCAGCTTTGTACATAGGACGTGTCATTTAAAGACAGTAGAAAGATAGGAATTAGGATGATAATGAATTTGCATGTCCAGATACACAAATTCAATAAACATTGGTCATCTGGGGAAAAAGTAGGCTCATTATCCTGTAATGTAGTACAAATATTACCTGTATGAATCAGTGCCATCTTCAAGGCTGCACTCTTTAGTTTCACTGCTGTTATGAGAACCATAAGAATGACACCGGAAATTCTGGCCTTGTTGGATCAAGGAACCATTTGACTGCCCGGTGGTTTGTCCATTTTTCTCATTTACACAAAACCTGAATGTTGATTGATATCCATTCATGCACTTCCTTACCTTCGCTTTTTGCGGTATACAATTCAATGCCATGCAATGAATTCCTTTCAGCTTACATGGCATTCTGTATTGATCATTGTAGTACACCCCGCTAGCTGCTACAGTACCAGGAATGCGAGTAGCCATATGCGCACAGTCTGTATGTTGGCTTGGGTTTGGCCACTAAAATCAATCCAATTGTGTCTTCATTAAGTAAGCTTCCTAACCAGTTTGAAGAGATATGATCTTTAGTACCTGATGTGAAATTTGGACATTAGTTGCACGCAACAGTAAGTGAATCTTGAGCAAAACTGATGCTAATACGTCGCGTCAAAAATACTGTAGAACTTCATTCCTTATCAGATCAATAATAGCTGCTTGCTGTTAACAACCATGTAGTAACAGTTTCCTTTCTAAATACCTGCTGTGCATTGTATTGTCAGAATCACAGCTACTCTATGAATGGGGTAATAGAATTCTAGGCCTTCTGTAATCTTCAGCAGTTATCTCAAATTTAACTTGACAGCATGCAGCCATGACAATTAGGAAATGCATAATTGATTTTCTAAATGGTGACACATCAGTCGCCCCCCTTAAATCTCTAAATACACCAACATTTCTCGATCCTAGATCAGTTTGCAGTTCAGAATCACAAACAAAAACACAGCGGGGAACTGTACTTGCAGTAATCAGCTAATTCGAAACTCTAAAAACGATAATTCCAAAGTAGTAAACAGGAAGACATTCGAACCGAAAGAAATGGCATGTATGATCCATCCATGCGATAATTGCCCAAAGATGCATAATACTAAAACAAGCATAAATTTCAAAGCGAGTAAACAACAGAATATCTGATCCGTCCATCCTCCACATCTAGCATGATCAAAACACCACCAATAAAACACCATCTTTTGGAACATGCAGAGGCTCTCGAGTGACAAAATACAACCAAAACTCAACGAGAACAACAACTTGGTGATTCTATTTTTCTTAAACAAAAAAGACACCTACTTTGTGGAATCCGAGGGGAAAGAACTCGAACCTTTGCTCGCCGGCCTATCCTGCCTCCGTCTCTGCACAGGCCGGGAAGAGAGATAGAGAGAGAGGAGGGGATTGGAGGAGAGAGATGTAGAGGTTGAGGAATCTCAAGCAAAGGAAGGGAGATGAATCAATGGAGGATGGCGGATGCGGCCTTGTCCTGTCCACTTCTCTGGTCGCGCTGCCCATGCCTGTAGCGGACACGTGGCGCTCATCCGCTGGTGGCCTCGCATCCGTGGCGGGGCCTACAGGCTCATCTACAGCCAAGAATTTCATTCCACACTCTTTCGCTGTCAACACTATCTCAAAAAAAAAAAAACACAATCCCGTTGGGTGTCCCTGACACGTGGGCCCTCCACATCTCTCTATCAACTCTATAGCCTAGCCGTATGGAGCATGCTTGTTGGAACGTAGTTTTGGAATAAAATTTGAAAAAAATATATACTTCTTTTCATGGTTTTGGATTTATATACTTATTTTGGAAAAGAAAGTTAATGCTATTAAGGCCCCCTTTGAATTGGAGGATAAATGGAGGAAAAACAAATGAATTGAAATCCTACACTATTCATGCCTTTGATTTGTAGGAATGATAAAAGGAAAAACGTAGGAAACTTTCCTTTCCTACGATTCTAGAGGAAAAATGTAGGAAATTTAACATCCACTCCGACCTCTTGGAAAACTTCCCTTGAGTCTATCTCTCTCGTTTGAATCCTGCGTTTTTCCTGCGGTCCAATCAAACGGCCATTCCTGTGTTTTTCTTGTGTTTTGCAATCCTTTGTTTTACACTTGCATTCCTATCAGAATCCTATGTTTTTCCCATTCCTCCGTTTTTTCAATCCTACGATTCAAAGGGGCCCTAAAAATGGATTTAAGATAGATCAAACAAGCAAACCATTAACTCAAAACATTATTTAAGAGTTTATGGCTCCTTTGAAATGTGGGGATGAGAAAACACAGCAATAGGAACAAATGTAGGAATAGAATGTTATACTTAGGGAGTTCTTATGGGATTTCGAAAAGTTGTTTGATTATCATGAAGTAAGATATCATGCTTATTTTCCTCTAAAATTAATCTTGTAAGGTTCATTCCACATGAATTCCTAAGAAATTGATAGGAAACATTTTTTATTTCAAATAACTCTATAGGATTATTTTTCATAGGATAAAATCCTCTATAATTCATATGGTTTTTCCTTTGTTTCAATCATGCTAAGACTGTGTCTGTCTCATGGAGTTGGGAATTGACCCCCTAATCACGAAAAATGGAGCAACATAGCACATAATTAATTAAGTATAGCTTAAAAAACTTTTTAAAGGATTAATATGATTTTTAAAAATAATTTTTCTATAGAGATTACACGCGACAAACAAGAGAGGGAAATAGGGAACATGAATAAACGAACTCAGTCAGCCCTGTTCGAATTTTAGAATGAAGGGAGTCCTATAGTCCCGTTCTTTTCTCCAATAAAAGTTGAAAGAATATTAAGACTTTCGTGTCACTTTTTCAAACTGCTAAACGGTGTGTTTTGTGCGAAAACTTTCTATATAAAAATTACTCTAAAATATCATATTAATCTATTTTTTAAGTTTGTAATAATTAAAACTCAATCAATCATACGTTAATACCACCTCGTTTTGCGTAAAAAACCTCATCTTCATCTTCCGGAGAAAAGAACACCACCTATGTCTGTACTACTCTACTCCCTCCGTCCCCTAATATAAGTAATTTTGACATTTTACTTGCACTGTTTGACTATTCGTCTTATTAAAAAAAATAGAATTATTATTTATTTTATTTGTGATTTACTTTATTATTCAAAGTACTTGAAGTATAACTTTTATTTTTTATATTGTATAAATTTTTTAAAATAAAATAAGTGGTCAAACGTTTAAAAATAGGGAATATTTTTTATATTAGGGGATGAAGGAAGTATAACTTTACCGTTATATTCTGTTCTTGTCTTTAATAGCAGTGGACGACGACCACACATGATACACGATACCCTTCTCTCCTTTCATTTCATCTTGCCTCTTCGACAGGGCGACACTCATGAATCATCATCCGAACGATCTAAGAGCAAGTATAATAGTGAACTATAAGCTTACTATACTTAGGTGAAGAAAAGAGGTAGTGGAAAATTAAGTATGTTGGCTCTTATGCAAGAGCTAGCTTATCACAAGCTCCAAGACAAATCCATTAAATGCATAAGTAAGAGATAGAGAGAGGAGAAGAAAATTGCAGCCAACCTTATAGCCAATCTATTATATATGTTGGCTTTAAAATAAAATAATAGTAGAAAGTGGACTCTATTATTATCCTTCCTCTAATCACCCATCCATTCGCCATCATTGCTTCCCAATACCCCATATTGGTCTCCATTCATTCCATTATCTAAGAAAAAATATTATTGGTCTCCATCCCCGGGTGGGCCCCACACACACCCCGTGCCACGTCGGCCTCACACCCCTCAGGTTAAACCAAAACCAAAACCAAAACCACAGGACGGCAACCCAGCCACAGCCACTGACAGGCGGGGCCAACCCGGTTCAGGGCCCCACCCGTCATCCACATGGGTCTCCTCCCTTCCTCTGCCTGGTGGGGCCCGTTTGACCGTTTGACAGGTGGCGCGATTTTCGTTAATTAATTCCCCTCCGTTTCTCACGGCCTCATGGCCAGATGGACACGACCACCAGTCCACCACCTCCTCCTCTACTTCTTCTTCTCACGTCTCTCTCTCTGAATCCAGATTTTTTTTTGTTGGTTCCATCCTCTCTCCTGCTTCAGATCAGGGTGGCCATCTCGCTTGAATCTGCAGGTGCGTGCGGAATTTCGATTTTTGTTTTTACTTTTATTTTGTGCACATCCTTTTCTTGAGAGGAGAGGTGGCGGCATGGTGGCTTCTTGGGTCGGATTTGGATTTGGAGTCGGAATTGAGGAATTCAGTGAGAATATGTAGCTCGGATCATCTTTCATCCTACTGGTCACTGGTTTGTTGATTTGGGTTGTGGAATGATTAAGCCGGGAGTGATTTGCTGTTGCTTTGCGGTTTCTCTGAATTTGTTGACGGCTACAGTGTTCAGGCAATCATGGAGATCGATCTGCTTGCTTGCACCGAGCAAATGATCCAATTTTTAACATTGAGAATTGTTCGTTTCCATTCTGCCAGGGTGAGCTGAGGAGGATCCACTGAGGTGGCGGCGGTCGAGATGGGGCTGGATTTGGGAGCTCTCGTTCTCAAATCCGGCGGGCTGTTGGTGTCGGACTACGACTCGATCGTCGCGATCAACATCTTCGTGGCGCTGCTGTGCAGCTGCATTGTGATCGGGCACCTGCTGGAAGGGAACCGGTGGGTCAATGAATCCATCACCGCGCTTGTCATGGTGAGATGAGAGGGCTCTCTGGCCTTGCACCCCAGGTGTTTGTGGTTTTGCCTTACAGGGGAGTGGTTTTGAGTTTTGTTCTGTGGGTTGGCGCTTGCAGGGGCTGATCACTGGAGGTGTGATTCTGCTCGTCAGTGGTGGGAAGAACTCGCACATTCTTGTGTTCAGTGAGGACCTCTTCTTCATTTATTTGCTTCCACCGATCATCTTTAATGCTGGGTGAGCTTTCTGTGTACCTATAGCTCTTCTAGTGAGCTCCCAACCAAAGCGGAATTTATTTTGTTGTTCTTCTGTACAAGAAAAGAAGGTGCCTTGTCTTAGTTTAATTTGGTTTTGGCTAATTTAATCTTGAGAGCAAAATGCACCGCAATAGGACTCACTTGAGAAATTCATGTATTTCTGAAGTATGCATATGATGATATTATTATTGCCATTCTGTATAAAATATTACTTAGATTCCTCTGGATGTATCAAACCCATGTTTCTAAGACTTCCTCAAAACCTATGTGATTTGTGAATGCTAAGGTACACTTATTGAGCTGGATGTATAAAATAGTCAACTGCCCACCCATTCCCATGAAATTATACTGAAAAATGAATTAAACTATCACGTCTGTCCCAAACAATTATTTCCCCCCCTGAAATACAGACTTAAAAAGGATTGTATCACAGTAGTACATGAAGCCCTTTTACAATTAGAGGACTTGGTGATGATTGGATCCAAGTATGTCTAATCATTCTTACATTCTTACTGAACGTGAGTAAGCTTGTGAGTCATTTAGATTATTTTTCCTGACTGTGCAAGTATATATATAGTCTTTATAGAGAATCAGCATCCTTACTCTGCCCTGTTTCGAACCTAGGAAATTGCATGCATTCCTGCAGTAACTGAATTGATTAATATGAATTTCCTGTGTATTTCTTTGGATTAGCTAATAACATTTTAAGCTCCAGCATTATATTTTTGTGCAGAAATACATGTATTTTCAGTTCTCGCTAAAACATTTGACCCTAACATCAAAGTGATAGCCTGAAGTTACTTACATTTTATATAAGTGAAGCTTTTAACTGAAATGCATCTTTGTTTATAATCATCAGGTTTCAAGTAAAGAAAAAACAATTCTTCCGCAATTTTATGACAATTATTTTATTTGGTGCTGTGGGGACATTGATATCCTTTGTGATAATCTCTCTAGGTAAGTTGCTGAATTCTTTGCTCAGCTTACATCATCTTATTTTGGTTCCATATTAATGATCACAAGATAACCAACTATATGAACACCTACACCAAAATACAAAATCTTGGTGTTTAACACCTGAAACCAAATATCATCATTTCAACTTTCAAGTATGTGTGACTGATTTCTTTGAGATTAAGATAAATTAAACACTGGTTTAAGAGAGTAAAAGAATCAGTAATGAGCCAATCGCTTCTATATGAAGTGGCTACATGATGCATGAAAATCCATAATTCAGTACGGAGAAGCCAGCTGGATAGTTTTTTTCAGTTGTGGAGCTGGATGTAAAAGTATGTATGTTAGATGCACGGTTGTTTGCCTTATTGTATTCATTACTCAATGGTACAAACATGATTTGTTCAAAGTCTCAAACCTTGCATCCTCAAACTTTGATATGTTGCTCTGGCCGCTAAGATTTTCCTTTTTTCTAATGGACATATCAGGTGCCATGACATTGTTCAAAAAACTTGATGTTGGTCCACTCCAGCTTGGGGACTATCTTGGTTAGATACTTTATTCTTGGCCTTTCTACACTTCAAAAT